GATAATTCAGACAAGCAGATTGAAAACTGCTGAGTCCACTATATATATATATATATATATATATATATATATATGTGTGTGTGTGTGTGTGTGTGTGTGTGTGTGTGTGTGTGTGTGTGTGCCTGTGGGGGGGGGGGCACGCGCGCGGCGGGCGTGTGTGAAGATGACCAACTGCCTCTTCCTATCTGATTTGCTTTCGAGGTTTCCTATTAGTTTCCCATTTCCTAAGCTCACCTTCTACATTACGTAGCCTTGAAATTTCAACTTTCTCTTTCTGATTTCTCTTCTCAACCTGCAGAAGTTTTGTTTTTTGTATCCATTTGACTTAAAACTTCCTCCTTGCTTACATACCCCATCTATGGCATTCTCAGCATCACTACTGCCCACTGGCTGCCTAAAAAATATATTAATATATATATGGTTCGTTAGTGTTTCCCTATTGCCGAGTGAATGCCTAAAACGGCAAATAGTGTCGAGACCTGTATATAACATATTTCCTTCAGCTATGTACAATTATGATTTAATTTATACCTCGGAAACAAAAGATTAACAACAGTCATTAGCAATAAAATTTAACAATAATCGTAAAGATTATATGACGATGGATAGAACGTTCGTTCTTATCGTACTCATCAGGTATACGACTAGGAAGAAATGAAAACCACAGTCTATTTCATCTTTGTCTAGGCTATGCTTTGGCATCTACAAATACCCTTGTGAAGAGATGGGAACTGATCATTCAAGTATTTTATGCAACATCCCAACCGAATCAGCTAATAGAAGACTGCGATCATGTTTTCTCTCCCGAGGTCAACCTCTGTTGTATAGGAGTAAAATGTTGCTGCCGACTCTGTAGTTTGAACATAGATTGCCAAAGAACAAACAGAAACGGTTAAATTTTGGATAAGTAGATCACCATTTCTGTTATATCCTCTATTGCTATTCGGATCACTATTCTCTATACTGTTCACTACACTATTTCTCTATACTGATGACTATTCCATGGTTACTTCTCTAGCGAGTATTATTGAGCAAGTACTATTACTACGAGTGATATTAGAAGATGTCTGACACTAGCATTGTTCAACGGCGTTACTATAGTTGTATCTGCGATTACAAAGTCTCTACTACAATGAGCATTAGGAAAGTGACAACGAGTATTCGTTGACATTGTAAAAGTAGCAACGAGTGTTCGTTGTCATCACAAAAACCGTAACATACAATTTTTTTCTTTATTTATTAATTTGAGAACTTATAGTTTTTCCGTTAGATAAAATGCTTTACAGATTCCCTTTGTCATATCCAAATTGCCAGAATCAATTTTCTTGCATTTTTTTTTACTATTATTAGATGAAACTAATAATTTGTTAAATGTTTTACCCTAAGCAAGGCGATAAAGCAACTAAAATGCAACTGCTTACCAAGGATAAAAATAGAGTCAATAAAACTGAGAATTGTTACCGAGGAAAAAGCACAAGAGGAAGAATATAATTAAAGAAAATAAAAGATAAAAATGGATGTTGCATTTAGATATTTAAGGATCAAAGTTAACAGGAATGCAAGAAAAAGTAAGAAACTTCTCTGGGCAGGTGTGTGAAAGAAAAAAATCTATTAGAATAAAACGGTTACATTTAGCAAATTCATCATTAAAATTATGAGACCTAACTGCCAATCTAGTACTACTCTTAAATTCATGAAGCCGTTGTACCACAGTGCTCATTAGAAAAAAATATAGGGAAATATTTATAGAAAAGTCAGAGAAAAAGTAGATTACAGCGGTGGTAAAATTAGTTGAAGCTGAGATGCCAGGTTAGGAACGAAGATATTGCATAGTCTTATTTATAAGTATTTATATCTGAAGCTAAAGGCGGTTAAATGAAGCAGCGAGCAACAAAACCCGTGAATAGAGGTTTATTATATATATCAGTTTTTATTTCATTAATTCTTGTGTAAATTTTCCGGATATCAATATTTTTGTTCCTATCGTTTTCTTGCTTCTCTTCTTTGGTTCGTCTTTCCCATATTTCTTGTGTCTTTATCTCTGATACGATAGCATGTCGCTTATAAAATAACAATCTAGTCAAAGAAGTAAAATATCTTAAGTAAATCCTCACCCCCCCTCCCCGGCAGTCATTACCAAGTCAAATTCATCAATTGATTTCTGTTTTTCAATCATCATTCTCTTTCTTTCCGCCTTTATTAGTCAACACAGACGAAACCGACGTGACAATCAACCTATTCAAACTGCGATCTGCAAAAGATTGTCACAAAATAATTTCGTATCTGTCTATATTTTTGATGTGAGGTATTATGTACATTATTTGCATTATTCGGACTATTGTCCTCATCTTTGTCGCCATATTTATTATAACGTTTCGGCCGTTGTACGCTCCGGCCTTCTTCAGGTGATTGGAATGTCGAACTGAACCCTTTATTTCGTTCACTGGAGTAGACTGTTCTAGTTCCACGTGCCATGTTTAATGGATGTCATTTATCAGTTATCTCCTGTTAATTTCCCTCTGAAAGTTCTCCACTGCCGGCCAAGCATAGAAATGAATACAATATAGGAAACAGTAATAAAGAGTGCCAGAGAAAAGCGATAACAACAAAAATTGCAATATGAGCTCTGGTAAAAAAAAAAATGGAATGATAACAGCAGAACTTGCAATATGAGCACTGGAAAAAAGTGATGCTGAGGACATTAGGTTTATAATACCCAGAAATTCCTACACAGATGTCCTCAAGGATACATGGCACAGTGGATAAAGGCGTTTGTTAGGTCCAGTGACAGGACACAAAAAGTGTGAGTTCAATACCCGGTTAAGGCAGTGGAGAACTTTCAGAGAGAAATTAACAGGAAATAACTGACATCCATTAAACATGGCACCGAGGTGAAATAAAGGGTTCAGTTCGACATTCTAACCACCTGTAATAAATATGGAGACAAAGTTGAGGACAATAGTCTAAATAATGAAAATAATTTCGGAATTCAAGAATTCGGTTGATTTCATCTGTGAGTAAAAACATCATTCAGCGAAAACATTTCTAAAATGAAATGAAGCAAAATTCTGCCCTTTTCCACTGCTAATTTATTTCCCATTTTTCCAAACAAAAGTTTCTTTTTTTAAAAAAAAGAAGTCCCTTTCCATTTATCCAATGAATTTGCCACACATTTTCTCTTCCCTTTTTTTCTGCTTCTCATTATTATTATTATTTTTAGTTTTCCTGATTTAATCATTGAAACATTTCTTGAACAAGTCTCTCCTCCCACCCAAGAGAACAGAGAAACTTATGTTGAAACACCGATTATTGTACGATTCACCGAAGTTAAGCAACGTAGACCATAGTCAGTACCTACATGGGTAACTGCTTTGAGATACTAGGTATTGTAAACTTCCCTGTGCAGGTGATACAATGGGCTCGTTATATTTACTTACGCAAAACTACTCTTCCTCTTTCAAGTATGGGTTAAAACCATATCACTTGAGGACTTTCAACAATAGTAACAACTAAAATGGATAGCACATGGGAAATTATTCTATAATCACGATGTTGACATCATCAGTAGTGGAAAGAACGATAACAGCTACTGGATTTGAGAATCTATTTTCCTGAAAATGGTTTGATTAGAAGAATATTTACATTCAGTCTAATGTCTTCATCTTTATTTTTATTATCACAAAATTTCTACTGACATTCTTCAGGTGTCTGTCGATCCGAGTAACCTACAGAAATTATATATATATATATATATATATATATATATATATATATATATATATATATATATATATTATTGTTATATTTCACCTCCCATGTCTAGGCATATCTCACTTTGTTCTTTTTAAGTACTGCTCGGTTATTGCTTATCATGTTTACACTGAGTTTATGCTACCCGACCTAGGGATTAAACTCGCAATTAGTATGCCAACAAATTGTCATCTCACCTGGGCCTTTTCTATAAATATTTTCATTCTAATTATTCTGATGAACTTTCCTCTTTGGTATCTAGGCTCTATAGATTTAAGTGCAGTACTAAATTGATGGCAAGGTCACATCATTTTACAATTAAAATGGCTTGATAGAACCGTAAGTTCTATGCTGACAGTTTCTTGTCTCGTACTTCTTGTTTGTGGAAATCACAGTTTCTTGTTTTCCAGTGAACTTTGACCATCAAAAATGTAAATACAATGTCAATCGTTATCTCTTCTTAATTCCCTACTTTTATTGTTCTCTCTCTACTTTATAATGTTTTCTTTTCTTTTCTCATATTCTTTAATATGACTCCTTGCATCTTAGTGGCTTTATTTCCTTGCTTGGGGTGAAACGATGAAAAACAAATTGTGAATCATCGTTTTAATACACCAACTATAACGGACATTCGTCCTAATGTAAATAATCATAACTTCTTAGCCTAGAGATAAATTATAAATCTGCCTGTGATAAAAGTGGGTACATATATGCATATACAGAGTACGATGGGTAAATTGACGCCATTTTGTGTTTTTAATTTCGCGCATGCGTGTTGTTTGATTTTATCGACTGTACAGGATAGCAGAATCAGGTGAGCACTGTCCGTGAGAAAAAGAGCAACATGAGCTAATTCAATCCGCCAGAAATTTGGAAACGACAGACTGTACTGTTTTGCATTCGCACCGGTAAATTCCAATACGAATATTTCTGTGTGATGGATGTCAATCTGAGGAGAGTACAGAGGATTCGGAAAGAGTTGGATGATATATAGATATTGGAGTTATCACTAGTAATGTCGACGTTATGCCTGCATTCATTTTGCCGCAGGGCCTCAGACTCCACATCGATGCCTACATCAAGTGCCTTGAGGAGGTCGTGCTGCCTTGGGTCAAGAAGGTGGCTCCTGGAAGACACTCTGCTTGGCAACAGATTAGAAGAAAATATTGGTTTTCACGGACGTTTAAGAGTTCACGTGTTGCTGTAAATTTTCCCTTTTTACCGATACTCATATTTCGTATTCGATCTTTCCAATACCCGTTCCCGTACGATTATTGAAGTTAAGCAATCACGAGCCTGATCAGTATCTAGATGGGTGACCGGTTGAGAATACCAGGTGCTTGTAAGCTTGGATGCGCATGTAGTCTAATGGATATTGGCTTGGAATTTTAAGCATAGAGCCGAGTTCCAATTCCAGACAGGTTCGTTATATTCACCCACGCACAAATAACATTGGAAAAGGCATGAACCCATCTCTTCTCCCTACCCACCACCACCATTATATGTTAATCGGTAAAACTTGTATCACTAAAACATTCTTATAATTTAAAAATGTTTTCTGGTTTTGAATAACTTGCAAAGGGTTGATAAGCCGTAGAAAACGAATCAATCAATCGATCGTTCCATTATTCTGTCTTTTTCCTTCAGTTGACTATATTATCTATCGATCTCTTGCAAATTAATCATTGTATATCGTATGAATTTTCACAGCTTTAGGATCTAGTGACTCTGTCCGGAGATCAAGTGGCAGCAAGACTCTTCAGTACTTCACGACTTAGTATCCTTGTTTCATTTCGATATTACTGTCATTTTTGGTCGCTTCAGTTCTTTCTCAAATGTTCAGTTCTTTTGATGAAAGAGTATGTGGGCAATTCCAGGTGCTCCAATAATTATGGGAACTGATACTATCCTCATATTTTTTTAAAATTTCTGTTATCTGAAAAAGTATTGGTATTTATCTTGTGCTTCAGCATCCAATTTTTTTAGTAAAATCCCAAAGAATTTTATTTTGTTTATCTTCTCGTATAGCTTCTGCCTTGTATGCATATCATTTGTACGCATAATACAATATAAATTTGTGTAGTTCCTACTAAATGGCCATTCCTACCCAGCTGTATTTGCCTACTATCTGAGCTGTTTTACGATATTCCCTTAGATTAAGACTGACAAACTCGTGTCAGATTCTGCATTGTTTATTTTATTAGTTTTGTTGCATTTTGTCTGTTCTTGGTTTGGTTTTGTTCGTTGAAATATTATTTTCTTACTGTTACAAGAAATATTGTTTACCTTCTTCAGTTGTCCTTTGCGCAAACATGACCAGACGTTGTCATTGATTTGCTTTGTGATAGCTTTTTCAAAGTTTTTTTTTTCTTCTTTCTAGCTTTATTTTAACCAATATTTGTTCTTTCATTTGCGGTTCCATAGATTCTGTTTGCCTCGGGTTTCCGCTAATCTTTTGATAATCGAATCAATATGGCCTTCAATATTTAATCAGTACACTTTATTCCTTTTATATTTATTCAATCTTTTTTCTCTTCTTTTCGCACATCAACCGACGTTTTTCAAATTGATCAGCCTTTTTGCTTCTTCCTTCTTTTTCAATTCATTTCAATTTCATCTCTTTCATTTTCTAGATTCTTCTGAAGCTTTTTTGTTCAGATTCATCGATTTTAATTAATCATCTACTTCGTTGTTACTTCTATACATTTAAATTTTAATTACACACGGATCATTATCGTCAGTTTTCATTGGTATTTGTTTATTGCTACAATCATCTGACTTTGTAATCAATTTAAATTGTTTCTTTTCCTTTATTTCTCCTTTTTTCATTTCGTTCTTTTTTTTTTCTTTCTTCTGTCTTCATTTCGTTCTTTTTTTCTTTCTCCTTTCTTTATTTTGCTCTTATTTATGTCCCTTTTAAATTCCGCCGTTTTTTTTTTTGGGGGGGGGAATGTATTTTTTTTATTTTTGTACCTTTTTCAATTGGGTTTCCTTTTTTATCATAAAGGCATCATCAGCATTCCACATTGATTCAAACAAAAGGTTAGAAAGGAAACCCCGATCTCTACTGGAAATCGCGATAACAGCAACTGGACTTCAAAAGCTATTTTCCTGAAAAATTGTTTGAAGATGAAGATTTTATAAATTCCAACCGACATTATTACTTACTTCTCGGTCAATATATGCCGAATGTTTCCTTATAAAGAAACATCGAATATTACCATTACAATTACATTTGGTTTTGCTTATTTTTGTTCTTGATATATTGTTTGTCACGTTGTTCTACACATCATAATCTTTTTTTCCTTTTCCCACTCTTGTTTTTGTAATCTTTTCTGTTTTTACTTTCAGTAATTTTCGTTCTTTTTCTCGCCGTTTCTTTCTTTCATTTTTTTTTCTCCTATTTTATTCCGCCCACTGATATATTTTTTTTCTTTTTTTCACACATTTTTTTCGTTTCTTCCTTGTTTCGTTAATTTCGCTTTTTGTTTTTTCGACCATTTCCCATTTTCCATCTTCTATATTTTTTCTTTCTTCTCTTTTTTTCTTTCTTTTTCTTTACTCATTTTTTCTTTCTTTTTGCCTTTTCTCTCCTTTTCTTTCTTTCTTCTTTATTCTCCTTTTTCTTGCTTTTTTCTTTACTCTCTTTTCTCTTTCTTTTTCTTTACTCTCGTTTTCTTTCCTTTTTCTTTACATTATTTTTCTTTCTTTTTACTTTAATCTCTTTTTCCTTTATTCTCTTTTCTCATTCTTTCTTCTTTACTCACTTTTTCTTTACTCTTTCTTTTTTCTTTTTCTTTACCCTCTTTTTTATATTTTCTTTACTCTCTTTTTCTTTCTTTTTTCTTTACTCCCCCTTTCTTTCTTTTCTCTTTCATTTCTTTTTCTTTCTTTTTTCTTTCGCTTATCTTCGCTCTCTTTTTCTTTCTTTTTTCTTTACACTTTTTCTTTCTTTTTTCTTTATTCACTTTTTTCTTTACTCTCTTTTTTCTTTCTTTTATCTTTACTCCCTTTTCTTTCTTTCTTTTTCTTTCTTTTTTCTTTACTTTCTTTTTTCTTTACTTTCTTCTTACTCTTTGTTTCCTCTTCCTCATTTCGTCTTTCCTCCCTTCCTTTCGTTTCTTTCCTCTCTTTTGCTTTTCTCTCTTTGATTTTGATCTCCACATTTCTTTCCTCTTTCAGTTCTTTTGCTGACGCCTCTCCTTCCTCTTTTACGTCCGTTTTTTTCCTCGTATTATTCTTTGTTATTGTCTTCCAAATATTTTTCTTTTTTCTTCTTCTTCATTTTTTCCTTTATTTTTATTTTTTATTTCTATCACACAATTTCTTCTTCCGTTTGAACTTTCTCTTCATCATCGTCTTCTTGAAGGAAAATTATATTTTGCTACTTCTCCCTTTTCTTGCCTCAGTGTCGTCCATATTTCCGACATTTCTTTCTTCACTGCCTCCGCCTTCACCACCGTTTCTTCAGTTTCTTCAAACTTCCAGAAACGATCTAGATACCTGTCGGAAAAGTTTGCTTTGATCTTTCTCGAAGTGATTTTTATCGCACGCTCACCGAATCTCATGATCTGCTCGCTTCGGCAGGTGGACGCGCATGCGCTTTTTCAAATGACGAATTCTTTGATGTTGCCGACATCTCATTGATCTATCGTCTTTCTTTTCTCTTTATCTCAATGCCATGTCATGATTCTCTAACCAAGTTAATTGCAGCAAACAAGAACATCGAAATAATAATCCCACCGTCTCTTTACCGTTCTCTCTCTCTCTCTCTCTTCTTATATATATATATATATATATATATATATATATATATATTTTGAGTACACTCAGCATATATATATATATATATATATGATACATATATATATATGTGTGTGTGTGTGTGTGTGTGTGTGTTTGTGTGTGTATTGAAGGTAGTCAAACATGCATGACCTGAAAACTATGCAAAATAGGTACTTCAGTCACCAAACATCAGAACACAGATTTGGAGAAGTGACTCAGGCGCAAAGCTTAAGGACCTCTTCTGTGCTCACACACACACACACACACACACACATATATATATATATATATATATATATATATATATATATATATATATATATATATATATACTATTAAATATAATACATGTAGCATTTTAAATCTTTATAATTAAAAATATGAATATAAAATATGATTTAATTATATTTGAAGCTCCTTTATGTAATTAATTCTGTTTAATTAAAAGCAGAGCATTTACTTAAGTAAAATGTATCTATAAAAATAACGTATTAACATAAAATATGCTATATATATATATATATATATATATATATATATATATATATATATATATATATATATATATATATATATATATATATATATATACTAAAAATAATAAGGAAGAACAGTAAAATTTATAATCCGGTGTTTTCAGCAATTATTTTTATTCATAAAAAACAGCGCTCGATACAAACAGTAGAGCAAAATATTATAATTATTTTCTTTTTTTTATTTTATTTTAAAAAGAAAATAATTATAACAATTATATATATATATATATATATATATATATATATATATACTATGGTCATTTGGGAAAAAGGTTTTTGTCGCGTTTCATCCGTTTGTTTGTTGATGTTTCCACTCGTACACATGCTCAAAAAACGAGAGAGACTCTTAGCGTCAAAATTTTTGAACAAATATTTTTTTTTCCTTTGAAAGAATATTTTTTCAATCTAGCCAAATGCATCACCATCGAGGAGAAATATGATGGAGAAATAGAAAAAAAATGCAGATGAATTTGGCTAGATTGAGAAAATATTATTTCAAAAAATTTAATTTAATTAATCATATTATTTATTTTTAGGTTCGATTCTCACTCTTTAAATCTTCTTCATCGCTTTGTGCCAAACAAGGAAGAGCTTAGTAAAGATGTTTATTTGTGGGCTGAGGAGGGGTGGGGCTGTTAGAGGAGTCTCTCTGAGCTGGAATAGTTAAGTAAGCTATCTCACATAACGTTAATTCTAAGTAACTAGTCTGCTTCTCATCAGCTGGTTCACATGTGTGACCTTGTGATAGAGCAAGTCGAGTAAAACGAACTAATTAGCTACGTCGTCTCGCTGACCATTATTGCTGTGCCGGTAGATCGATCATTAATTCAGGTAAAGGGAGCCGAACTTACTACAAATTAAAATATATTTTAATATCCTTCTTTCTCCCTTCCTCCCTCTCTCTCTCACTCTATCCTATTTTTTAAATCTATCTTTCTCTCTCTTAATCTAACCATCTCTGATATGTCCCTTCAGGATGTGCGTGACAATGGTGTTAATTAAGTGTGCATGTATCAGTTG